TCTTCCTCCTCCTGCCAAAACCAAATTATATTCATACATGTGTGCATATTCAGAAAATCAAAGTTAACCTCACATGATTAGCTCTCCTAGGTTAATTCCAGAGAGCGTAAGAGGAGCTTCAAATGATAACTGTGGGCAACTAAAGTCAAGCTTTCATTGGGAATTACACCCTAAAAAGTAAGTGCTATATAAGAGGCTAAGAAAGGACCCAAGAAAGATGGGTTTCCCGAGGCTAAAATTAACTTCTGTCAATATCCCTCTTCAGTCCCATCTCTGGTGCTTTCAGAAGCTTAATGGGTACAAGATACATAGGTGTTACATCTATTAAACATTTCTCAGATTATCCACATCCTTGAAAGTATTTCTTCTGGCAAACACACGGTTTATTTTTAATGATCTGCTTCAGGGAAACCTCAAGTTCATATTACCTTCAAACACAACTTACACATAGATACCCCACAGTTTATACCCACATTAGGGTCCCATATTAGGGTCATTCGTTACTTAAAATATTACTGGGAGAACTCAAGTATCAAGAAAACAATGAAGGCATAGGCACAAATGACTCCATAGTGTAGATGAGCTGCTGCTGTTACTTCCAAGGACAGTTGGCTGATCAGCTGTTGAGAACGGGCCACACTGGTTTTCATGTTTTGCAATAGTCCCATTCAACGATTAGAGTAACCAACTGAATAACCTGTTGCTGTGACTCAGCAGTTTATCTTATTTCTCCTTTCTTGTAACTTTCTCTTACACTGAGATGGATATACTGTAGAAGTTTCAGGGCTTAAATATAAAGCTATAGATGCCTTCATTTCTTGCCTTTTCTGAAACATTAATTAAATGCTTGAACTTCTTTCTCTTCATATGCTGCTCCTAGCTAGCTGCTCTCTAGTTGTGGTTCTCTTTTCTCCCAACTTCCACCACAGTTTTATCCCTTCTTAAAGCAGAAAGATACAGAAAGACATAGACAAGCCTGGAGGGTATCTTATTTGCAAGACTTCTACCTATGTAAGGTTTCTTATCTGGATAAGAGTATAGTTTCTTCCCCGGTGAATAACAAAGAAGGCTGGAGCCATGTTACATGACACTGGGAATAGCAGCACTGGGTTGCTCACCAGAGGAAGGAAAAAAGAAAAAGAAAAAAAAAAAAAAATAAAATAGAAGAAAAGGTCTTGCTTTCACCAGTCACACAATGCCTCCACATGAAAAACTTCCGAAGGGGAAGAGAAGCATTGAAGAATGAATCGGTGGCTATACTTCAGTTTAAGCATTACTGATCAAAGGCTGTAATTAATTATAAAGGCAAAAACTATTATTAAAATGTGTAGGTTTGGAGAGAAAGCAAAAACTTGAGGTTCTTTGCCTCTCTGGTGAAAAATGGGTAAGTTTTGTACTAGAGCTGCACTCTGTTCACAACTGGAAAACACATCCATTTTGGGAGGAAGAAAGCTTCTGCTACTTTGGAGTCTTATAATTGTAAACTCAGCTTTCGCTGCCAGAACCGAACAATTTAATTTGCAAGTCAATCCCTGATTTACACGATTTCTAACATCTTTTAGACAGAAAAACACAGGCTCTTGGTTAATGCTTGAAAAGCAGCAAGTCTCTTTAAGAGAGGTTTTTGAGAGTGAAGGAAAGGAACTGAAGTGTCACAAAAGATGAAGATGAAAGCAGAGTAAGGCAAAACTGGCTCACTGCATTTAACTGAAACAAAGTAAATTGAATGTTTAATGACATGTAAGCCAACCTTTACGCAAGAAATCATGGGTATGTATCTACTGTTCTATCAACAATGCTGAGTTTGCTGGTCTTGAAAAAAAAAAAATAGGTGACAACAAATCACATGCATGAACAGAGAACACCATTACAATCTTTGCTTCTGAAAACTGTTTTCAAGCTTACTGTCTGCCAAAGCAAACAGTAAACATCAGGACCACATTTACATCCCTGAGGAGCCTGTAAGCAGAAACAAAGGACTAGAATAAGAGACCAACCACGACAAAACCTTCTGCTGTATTCCAGCTTTGAATACACAGCACAGTGTAACTATTCCTGAAACTTTAGAATAATGTTTGTGCACACTTTTGTGCACACTCTGTGACAGATGCAGCAACAAGAATAACTGAACAGGAAACAGTCACGCTCCACCAGAACCTATGCCAGATGCAGTCCAGAAATGGTCTTGATCTAACCCACTTCGCTTCTAACAGCCGTTAGAAAGCAGAAAGAAAGCACTCTGATTACTGTCCGAGGGGGGGGGCCCCCCCCAAGAGTATTTCCAGCAACACTACTTTTTTATCCAGCAGGAAAGAAGCAGCATTACATTCCCAGGTAACTGAGAGCAACAATGTCAAAAGAGGGATGACTTTTGTAGCAAGACAGAAGATCAAAAGCACATCAAAAAATCCAAAGACTTCGGTTTGCAGACTGAAGCATTACAGGATGAAAGCAAGTATCATGCTGCACAGTGCAGCAAACGTTCTCATTTTGCAGACTTAAATAAGCAGTAATGGGCAGCTATCTGGGAAATCACATGGGAAGCAAATCAATAATACAACTATAATTTTGGAGGTCACATACACCAAGATCTTCAGTATTTTGAAAATTATTCAAGAAAGCAGCATGCTGAAGGTGGGTAATCATGCCTTTGGATGACTACTAAGCACAGGGCAAAAAAAAAAAAAAAAAATTATACCAGATAAATTTCTACAGTGCTAGACAAACAAAAAGATGCAGGATTCAGAGTTACAGCTGCTATTTGTAGTTCCTTCAGTCAGAAGGCTTAGTCAATCAGAAAAGAAGACACTGCTACATGCAACCACTAAGACCACCGAACATGCCAACCTTTATGCATACTGCTATATGCCTATGGCTGCCATTTAAACTTATCTGAAAGTTTCACACATAAGACACCTGATCTTACATAACAGCCAAATGAATACTTTACCTTCCTCTTACAACTTTGGCAATATGTTTCGTACCTCATTCGACAGACACTTTTTTCCTATGGTACTTTTAACCAAACCCAGACATGCATCATAGCTAGCACTGAAAGTTATTTGCTCTTAAAGCGTATTGAGGTTGAACTCCAATTCTCCAGTGGTCAAGGGCAGACCTGAAAAAGAACCAAACTTAGAAAGATAAAAAGCTTAAAAAGATACCATCTCAAGCACTGTATTTCAACAATGTGTAGCACTGCCATTCCAAACAGGTATTCATATATGTTGAATCAGAGGGATGTTATCCATACCACCATCTGAGTAACATGATTTTCCTCGATTTCGATGGTTTTCAGTGAAAACAAAAAACAAACAAAAAGCAAACAAAGCAAAAAAAAACCCAAACAAAACAAAAAACCAAACACAAAAACAAACAAAAAAAAAACAACCAACCCACAAAAAAAAAAACAACCAGAAGTTGATTGGGAAAGAATTCCACACACAGTTCCCAAATGAGAAAGCAAACACATAGGAAGGTGTCCCTGCCCATGGCAAGGGGTTAGAACTAGGTGATCTTTAAGGTCCTTTCCAACCCAAACCATATGATACGGTCTACAAGAAGGTATGAGTATGTTCACTTTGGGCTACAGAAAGCTCAACCTTAACCTAGAAAGGAGCAGCAAAATGTAACATTATACTCATCCAAAAACATTTAAGAAAATGCACATCTTAATTTATAATAATTCTTTTAAGCCAAATTTTTGATATTTTAGTAGCAATAATTGTGTATGTCTGCTAGTAATTACTAACATACAAGACAGAAGTCAGGTAGACAAGCCAATTTTTACATTTTTGGTTCCTGCTGAATTCTTCCATTGCACTACTCAAGTCAGAATGTATTATTAGCATTTCATAACCATTGGAAAGGTAAAAGCAGCCTGTCAGCCAACTAAAAAAAAAAACAAAAACAAAAAACAAAACCAAAACAGACCTTAAAAAAGACTTATAGTCACATTTACAATAAAGTAATTCTCAAGCCATCAAACAGGTTTTATTATTTTACTTTGTCTCCTTTGTGCCAAGCATTTTATATATATACATGCTAGTAACAGTCTGGTTAGTCACTTAAGTTCGATCATGACTGCTTTTCACAAAAATCCCACAAATAAAAATCCTTTACTTTTCCAAACACGTATGAAGCAATTTGCATTCCATCATTATTTTTTTCCCCCAAAACACAGAGAATGTTTACTGCCTTAACTTTTGCCACGTTACCCTAAAAAGAGTGATGCAAAAACTTCCACTAACATTGTGTCTAGCCTACATAAGAAAATATTCCTGAAAGCAAGTAATTTTCTTTTTATGTGTTCATGTACAGGCTCAAATTTAACTTGCTTAAAAACATCACAAGTCAAAAACAATACTACAGAAGTCACACTAATACAGCTTACACAAAAAAAAAAAAAAAAAAGAAAAAGAAATGAGATGAAGTTTTGCTTTGTACAGGCTAAGCCCTCACACAGATCTAGAAGTTTAGCCACAGGCATTAAGTTTGAAATCAGCACAACAGTCCATATTTGCAAAATGCTTGATGTTAACAGCAAAAAGAAAAACCCACATTTAAAAGATTAGTATAGAAATACCTATTTGGTTTAGATATAATTTACTCTTATTTGGGTTTTGCATTCTTCCTGAGATTTTAGCATCAAGAATATACCAAACTGTGCACTTCAGGCCCTTCAGAAAATCATGTTTGGCATTAACAGTGCAGGTAACTAGCTTACATCCCATTTAAAGCTCTTAACAGCTGCTGTGAAGGTTTTTTTCCCCTATTCGACATACAAAGGCCACAGCATATCACCAGATCCTGTTGCTAGATAGATTATCTGGTTATACAGCAAATACATCAGGTATCTCCAGACGATGGTGCAGGCTGATTACAAGGAATAGCTCTAGCTTTTACTTTTTTTTAGTTCCTTTTTTAAATCTGTAGAACTACGCTGTATGTTTTATAACATTTTACAGATACAATCAGCTTAGAAAACACAGCATAATCACCAGTAATAGTGCCTTTGTCACTGGGTTGCAGGGCGGGACGGCCCCTGTTGTTCAAACACCGTTCTAAAAGCCATGACACCGCCGTTCACAATCTCCATGTCGGCACATGTAAGAGTAAATCCAACCCTTCACCGCAGACGCCGCGCACCAGGCGCCGGGGGCTTCGTTTCTACCTTAGCACTGCACAGGAGCTCTTGCCTCACCCGTCCCCCGAAAGGGTTAAACGCGATGACGCCGTAGCCCGGGGGAGGAACCGGAGCTTGGAAAGCGAGAGGAAAATGGAGAAATAAAGAGGGCGCTGCCCGGGGACTCACCTGCAGCGCCCGCCACCTGCCAGGCCTCGCTGCTCCGCCCCGCCGGCTGCCGCGGCAGGGTGAACACTGCCCGCAGAGCTCAGAGAGGCGCAGAGGCCGGCAGCGGGGAATCTAAGAGTTATCATGGCAGTAACTGATAAAACTAAGTCAAGGAAGCACCTCCGCTCCCCCGAGCCCGCGCGGTGCAGGCTAAGGGCTACTACCCCCGCCGGAACAGCTGCCGGGGCAGGGAATGAGCCCTTCCCAAGGACCGACCCAGGGCTGCGGAACACCCCGAACCTCCCCTTTCCGACGAGGAGGGAAGTTTTCACAGGAGGCGGAAGGGAAGACGGGGTCCCCCCGGCGCAGTGCCGGCTTCCTGCCGCGCCCCGAGGAGGGATCGGTGGAAGGTAGCCGAGGCGCCGGGTCCAGCGCCCGTTCCCCTCTTGTCAGGCGCCCTCCTCCTTCTTCCCCTCCCGCGGCCGCTCACCTGCCGCCGGCCGTCCCGCCCGCTTGCCGACAGCCGACGCCGGGCTGCCCTCGTGCGCCGCTCCACCGCGGCGCTCCCGGCCCGGAGCCTCTTGCCGCGCCCGCCGCCACCTCAAGAGCCGCCGGACGAGCTGTCGCTCCAGCCTAGGGAGGAAGCAGCCACCATGTTACTCTCCCCCTCAAGCGCCTACAGGCGGGTTCAGAGCCCGCCCCTAAAAGAGGCGGTGGCTGGGCAGGGGAGCGAACGCTGCTGCGGCAAGGGGGCGCCCGCGGGCAGCGTGAGGGGAGCCCGGCGCTCCGCCGCCCCTCGGTCCCGCGGAGCAGCACCTGTTCGCCTGCCTGCATGGGTCCCTCAGCGGGCAGCCGGGGATGGTCTTGAAGGAGAGGGGGCTGGGCCGGTGCCCCGCTAGGCAGGCAGCGCGCTGATAGCTAAGGATCTGTGAGGTGCCGGTCCCGGCCGGCGCTGGCCAGTGCCCGGCGACTGCTGCTCACCTTATGCGAGGTGTTGGTTGGTACCAGGAAACAAAATGTTTAAGAAGGATGTGAAGGTCCTTGGATGCAGTCAGAGGCAACAAAGCTGGCGGAAGGGCTGAAAGGTGCGTCCTGTGAGGAGCTGCCGAGGGCTCCGGCCTTGTCTGGTTTGGAGGAAGGGAGTCTGAGGGATGAGCTCATTGCTCCCTACAGCTTCCTGAGGAGGTGAAGTGGAGAGGGGGGTGCTCACCTCTTCTCCCTGCGATCCAGTGGTAGGACACATGAGAATGGTTCACAGCAGCGACAGGGGAAGTTTAAGCTGGACATTAGGAAGCATTTCTTTCAGGACCTGAGCGTTGTAAGAGGTGATCGATGCCCCAAGTCTGTCAGTGCTTAAGAGGCACTTAGCACCCTTAACAGCATGCTTAAACTTTTGGTCAGTGCTGCCTGGAATGCTCAGGCAGTTGTGCTAGATGACTGTTGTAGGGCCCTTTCAACTGAAACTATTCTACTTGTCGTGGTTTAACCCCAGCTGGTAACTCGGCACCAGTCAGCACCATGCTCACACGTCACATCCTTGCCTCCTCCCCAAGTGGGATAGGGAGGAGAACTGAAAGAATGTAAAACCAACAGGTTGAGATCAGAACAGTTTATTAACTAAAGTACAATATAGTACTACTACTAAGAATAGTAAGGGAAATAGCAAGGTGAGAAATATAAAATGTAAAGGGAAAAGGGAAAAAAACAAAACAAAACCAATAAACACAAGTGATGCACAACACAATTGCTCAGCACCTGCTGATTGATTCCCAGCCCAACCCGAGCAATGGACCAACGCACCTCAGGAATCCTTTGCTCCACTTCCCCCTGGCAATGTTTCTTTTTTGTGACTTCAGTGAGTATGCCTTCATGGGCTTGTGACAGCTGTGCTGTGGGCTCTGGCCACTCATTTCTTGAAGACCTCCAGGCTCAGGGCTTCCACCTCCACTCTGTGCAACCCACTCCAGTGCTTAATGATCCTCCACAGATTTTGGTTCAGATCCCTTATCCCTATCCTCAACCTGTCTAGTTTTACTGACTCTTGCCCTTTCACTGGCGAGTCCTGGGAAAAGCCTGGCCCAATCTCCCTGGTGTCTTCGCCATGTGCACTGGGGTGTGCAGTGAGGTGCTCCAATGCCCTCTCTGCTCCATGATGAACCAGATCCACAGACACTCCTTACCTTCCCTGAGCCCTTGGGTTTGCTGACCTCTCTCCTGTCCAGGACCCCAGATGGGACATATTGCGTGGATGAAGCCCAAGGGGTCTTGAGCAGAGAAGGATCACCCTTGTGCCCTCTGGCTAGGGGAGAAAGATAGGAGAGAATCTATGAAAGTGATCCGAGCACTGCCTTTGACACCCTGTGGGAGGAAGCAGAGGAGCCCAGGGGGCCGGTAAGAAGTGCTGTAGCATGGGGAGAGCCTGTAGGATTTTCTCCTGCCGCCTCCAATGAACTCCCTTGCCATATGTGCCTCAAGATGTCTGCCACAGCCAGAATGACCTGACAGGGCACTGGGAAGACACAGCTGAGGACTGGGTGACTGGCCTGGAACACTGATGCCAAGCACAAGACAAGAGGTGGGGGGATGGAGAGGGCAGTGGCATTGTCATAACCCCAGATAAGTGCACTGGGGCCTCAGTGCTGTCTTGGGCAGAATGGCCCATTGTGACATCCCGAAGCGATGGGCTCTGTGCTCACCAAGGGATGAGCTGCAACATCTCCAAGCAATGGATTACGACTCCCTCAAGTGCTGGATGCTTATATCTGGGTGCCGAGTGTCACCCAGGTGGCTCATGTCTGGACTGAGCGAGTTTGCGAGGTTTGGAGTGCCAAGAGAGACTTTGGTACTGTTCAGGGAGTTATTTGTTGCAGTTCTTGGTGCCTACTGAGAGCCACCAACAGATTTTCCCTGGCCCTGCCAGGTTCAGGCAGCAGGGGCACCCAGGAGGTGTGCTTGCAGCATCAGAGGTGAGTTGTGTGGGGACCCTTCACCTTGGGGAGCTGGGAGTGTTTCCTTCCTGAGGGACCTGGACATTTCTTCCAATCCTCCCTGGGCCAGCCAATGGCTTGAGGCGTTCTCCCTTTCTTGTGTAACATTTGCTACTGCAGCGCCGGTGAGAGGGAGCGACCCACCATCACCAGCTCCCCCTACCCAGCAGATGTCCAGGGCTGCTCTGGGTGGCCTCCAGGCAAACACCTGGGTATCCCTTTTCCATGACCACCCAGCTCTCTTCCAGCTCCTTCTGTCCTGGGTAGGTCAGGAGATTCAGTTCATATTTGGAAACTGTCTTGCTGGCAGCCACAATGGAGTATGTTGTTATGATGTGTCCCTCCTTCTCTTTGGGCTAGTTGAAGATCTACTGGTCCAGCTGTTGGGGCGCTCCCTCCAAAACCACAAGGCAACATTCACGCACCAGCTTACTGATGTTGCAGTGCAAAGGTGCAGTGGGAGGCCCACCATCTGCTGGGCCTGGAGGGTGGACATGTTACTGAGCAGCTGGGGGCTGCATGCGGCCACACTGCCTCGCCAGGAGGGTCTCCCACACCTGGTTCATCTCACTCCATCAGCCCTGAAGGAGCCAATGCTGACACCCCCCAGCACCTCAGCATCTGTCCTTCATTGGGGTCCTGGCAGCTCTCCCTCTGCCTCTGTTCCTATCCCTGGGGAGTAAGAAGAGCCCCAGGAGGAGTCCGAAGAGGCTATGGCACATTCATCTGCTTCTAGATAGGGCAATGAATGCTCCCGTGGGGAGCCACAGAGACCCCCAAAGAGGAGAGCTGTCCGTTCCAAGGCCTCTGCTCCAGCCAAAAAGCCACCTTACCAGCAACACTAGAATTCTCCTCTCCCATCCTCTCTATTCTCATCCCCTCCTCTCCTTCCCTCCTCTCCTCTCCCCTCTTCTTGCCCTTCCCCTTCCCTCTCCTCTCTTCTCCTCTCCCTTTCCCTCTTCTTTTCTACCCTCCCCTCACTTCTCCTCTCCTCTCTCTTTCCAGTAAGGACTGTGACTTCCCTTCTGGCTGCACATTTCCATCACCTCACAACAACTCTGAGAACTATCAGATGTTCTGCTAAGCTAGTTCAATTCACTAACCCACTAGGAAACTCAAGTGGTGTTCTAATGTCTTTATTTTCTTCTGAATTTGTGAGTTGAATAAGGTACCCTGAAAAGCATGCAAATAATTTGTTTACTTTGGGTGCATAGGTGAGGATTCAGGCAGATTGAGTTTGTGATAAGCTTACTTGGAGTCCTTGGGAATAAAAATACCTTCTCTTTACAGATTCTTGACTGAGCACTGGGTAATTTCAGACTGTATGATATGTGGTGGAAACTGAAGATTCACAATTTCTTTCTGGCTTTAATCCTCAAGCAAGTGACATACAGAGACAGTATAAATACGCAGTCATTGTCATACATAGCTTCAGCTTAAAACACGTATCTCATTTGTGAGAAATGGTCTCTATTGTAAAAGCTCAGGGTAGACACAACAGTGTGTTGCAATTGTGAAGCAGCAATTTATTAATGTTTTTTGCAAAAACAGGTGTCCTAGCAAGTAGGCTTATACAGCAAAAGCAGAACTTAGGTTTATATGTCTTACCCCATCAGCAAGTTCTCTCCCTTGTTTCCCCATTGGTTGGGTACTCCAAGGTATATAGGCTATAGGTTTATAGCCTATCGAATGTGTTTAATCTACATGCTAACTGTCCCACCTCTGTTTACATTTCTTCTTACTCAATTTCTTACACCCCTTCCTCTTATTTATTTATCTCCTTTTATGGTTCATAACTCCCTGGCAGACATGTGGTTCCTCAACTTCCTGTTTAACTACAGAACCAGCTTGCTCTATCTTAGTTTCATAGGTTGTACAAAGGTAGTATTCTTTTTAACCACAGACTGTATCTTTTGTCCAGAAATGATATTGTCCTTAACCACAGAGTGTGTCTTTCTAAGTGATAGTATCTCAAACCCTTTGTTCTGTTTCCTTAGTAACTTAGCTCCAGCCCCAGTATTGAAAAATCTTAATATTGCAAAGCATCAATATTGATCTTAAAGCTCTAATATTGTAAAGCTTTAATATTGCAAAGTTGTTTGCCCCCCCACCAATTGCAGGAAAACAACATGGTTTCCCTCACATCATTCACTTTAATTAAAAATGTAACTGTAATTGACAACTGTATTTCAGCAAAAAGATACACCCAAAAGCCACCATTTTGTATGAAAGCATCAGAATGTCAATCTAGTCTTGAAAGTATTTTCTCGTTTTCACTGTATCATGGGATTGAAACCTAAGTTAGACAGGCTGTTCTTGCTGGTCTTCCTAATACCAGCTGGGAAGCAGAAGGATATTCATACAGTCTTCTCTAACAAATCAACATATGCTGCTTAAAATACTGGCCCACATTCAGGAATACTCTGGTATTTATTAAAAAATCAAGTTATCTTGATGATCTCTGCATAAAATGTGACAGGATTTTTTGAAATATTTGTCTTCCTAAGGATTTTTCTGTTTATTTTTCTGGAAACATCATGTTACCTTTTCTTTTAAAGGTTTCAGTTGCAGTCTGTGTCCAGCTTAGAAAACAATGGGTCTTAGAACCATTTTCAAAATCTTACGATTCTCTCGAGTATTATGTCTTGCATAACTCTTCAGCAGTTGAAAAAGAGAGCTTACTCCTGCTAAAAAGGGTTGAGCATGGTACCTCTTGGTTCTGG